GTCCTGGGTTGGCCCACACAAGATATCGTGGTGGCCCACAGGGGTCATCAGGGAGACGGGTGGTTGTCTGAGCCTCCCTAGGCTGCACACTGAAGTTGAGGAGACGAGAGTGCAATGAGGGATCCCCAAGCCTGGATGACATGGGGCTCGGCCTCAAAGGGAGACCCCACAGGACATCCAGCGGCACACGGTCAGGGGACTGCCCAGCCTAGGGCAGGAGAATTTTGGGGTCCTCTTTCTTGTTTTGGGGGCAGACCCCAGTGCTTATCTCAGCCCTGAACGGTGCCAAATCAGTTGTGGGTGTGGAGACAGCCGTGGCCGCAAGGTGGCAGCCCCGACTCATGCCATTGCCTGAGGTGACTAATATTGGGGTTCACCTGCCCCAAGACCCAGGTCCCCCCAGGCCTGGTACCACAGTGGTCCCTGAGAGTCATCAGGGAAACGGCTACCCAAAGCCCAGGATCCAGTCATGCCCGCAGCCCCATGGCCACAGGTCCCCCTTCGAGGCACCTAGTGTCCTGGAGTCGAACTCACACCATCTGCCCCAGTTGGATGAAAGACAACGTGCCACCAAGTCCTGGGGCTGAGCATCCAGCCACTGTACCACCCCCCAAGGATAGCCCCTGCACCCCAAACTCCGGGTCTTTTATTTAGCCAGCATCTGCCTCCAAGACAAAGGCTCGCAGCAGCCAGGCATTAACAGCCCCATTCACAGGTGTTTGAGATGCTAAAGACCTGAGCGCGCCTCCTCTGGGGTTTGCTGCGCAAGGTCCTACTGATCGCCGGGTGCAGCCGCCAATGTGGGCGCAGCAGACGCTCCAGGGTCCCGGGGGTCGATGTAGGTAGGTTGGGGGTCCTGACAGGGCCAGTGTGCAGAGGCCGGGGTGCAGTTCCTGGCACAGTGCTCTGGGGTCGGCGTGTGTGGAGGCGCACCTCCCAAATGGAGGGCCTGGGTTACGTGCTGCTGGGAGTAGAATCCCAACTGCACCCCCAAAAATCATGGCCCAGTGTCCCCAAGGCCAGGGAGATAGGTGATACTGGGGAATCGAGGGGTCCTGTGTCCCAGCTACGGCCAAGGAGGAGCACAGGGCAGGGAGGCTGAGTGCCAGGGAGCCCAAGCTCAACAGGTAACCCACCGCACTAGACCTGCGGTAGAACCGGGGGCAGGGGGTGGCTTGGCCGAGAGCAAGAGCATTTCGGGGTCCCCCACCTTGGTCTTAGATGGCTCCCACAAGCCCTCTGCAATGCCCAAATGATGCCAGTCAGTGGTGGTTTTGCAGACCGCGGTGGCCGCGAGGTGGCAGTGCCGACTCAGACATCGGCGTCTGAGGGTTCACCCGCAGAACACCCCAGGTCTTCCCCCCAAGTTTCCCAGGTTTGTGCGTGCAGTGTCCTGGGTCTTCCCGCGCAGTGTCTCAGGTTCGCCCGCTCAGTGTCCCTTGTTTGCCCACACAAGTGTCCCAGATTCGCTTGTGCTCAATGTCCTTTGCCTGCTCGGTGTCCCAGCTTCTCCCGCGCAGCGTCCCCGGTCTGCGTGCCCAGTGTATCGCGCAACGTCCCGGGTCCACCCGGGCTTGGTACCGCGGTGCCGGGTGAGAGTCAGCAGGACACCAGGTGCTCGTCTGAGCTGCCCTAGGCCACCCCATCTGAGTCAGGGCGGGCGCACGGCAAAGTTGGGAGGGGAGGGAACACTTAGGGCAATGAGAGACCCCCACGCCTGGGTGACGGGAAGCTCGGTCTCAGAGGGACACTTCCCATGAGCCTCCCTCGGCACAGGGTCCTGGGGGCTTCCCCACCGAGCACAAAAGGATTTGGGGGTTCTCCCCATTGCTATGGGCGCCCACCCCCTGAGCTGATCTCCGCTCTGAGCGGTGCCGATCTGCTGCGGGTGTGGAGACAGCGGTGACCGCGAGGTGGCAGCCCCGACTGAAGCACCGATGTTGGGGTCTGCTTATGGCCAGTTGTGGGGACCTGCTTGTCCTCATTTAGAGGTCCACCCGTGGCTAAGTCTGGGGTTTTCTACAGTAAATCGTGCGTTCACCCATGATCAAGGCTGGGTGTCAGGTTTGGTGGGGGGCACCCCACACTTCCTGGTGGTGTCCAGGGAGCAGAGGGTCTGCCCAAGCCCCCTCGAAGGTACCCTCGGTCCTGCTGAGTCCCCGGTTTCTTGCCCAGGCATGACCCTCTCCATGGCGCCAATACTCGGTGGGCAAATCATATAGGATTTCAAGGCTCCCTCTCCTACGGCCAAGGTTATTCCAGGGATGGGATAGCCGAGGGTGGCTGGGCGGGACCCGCAGCGCTCAGGTCTTTGTTTCGTTCTGAGCTGCGGGGCCGCGCAGGCAGCCGGTTCGCGGCGGTGGGGACAGGGCTGTGGGCTGCAGGGACAGCGGGCAGAGCGCGCCTGGGAGCTGTGGAGCAGGGCGGGCGCGCGGCGTCCCCAGACGGGAGTGTGAGTGGGGGCCCAGAGTGCCCCAACCGCAACAGAAACCTGCCCTGTGGAGGCGCTGCTGTCGCCCAAAAGGCCACCATCAAGTAGATAGCACTTGGGCTGGTAATTGGCCATCCACCCTGGCCCGCCGGGACCCCTGGGTGCTTCCCTGGGCCCCACCAGCGCCCTGACCCCCACCCCGACGCCCCACACGACTGCTCCCCGTGGATCCCAGGGCCGGCGGGTGAACGGAGGTCTTAGCCACGGAGGCGGCAGAAGCGGCTCGCAGCGCCCCTCGAACCCCCGGGTTCAGCCGGGAGCCCCGTCGGCGAGCCGCGTGC